TCTGACGTGGTCAAGAGCAAAGCAGCATGAAGAGACACAGGTGAGAGCAAGTGGATGCCTGTGGCCACCTGCGTTCTCACCGCCGGATGTCGAAGCCTCGCCTCTCAGGTTCATCCTCAAACGCTGTCGCCAGCTCGCGGAGGCCCCTGGGGGCTGCAGAGCATTCGACCCATCAAAACCTAGTGCTTTCTCCAGCATCCTGTGAGAGCTTGGTCTTGTTTCAAGGTCCCCTTGTCCCAGATCGGTGCCATCCCACTGCCCCTCGGAGGGATGGAAGGTGAGTGACTATTTGATCCAGTGACGTGAACCTCTGGACAGTGATCACACCCTACGCCTACTTGCAGAACATTCCAAAAGTGCCTGAAGAGTCTGCTCTCCCAGCGCCGGGTGAAATCCTGCACCTCGCCCGCTCACAGTGTGGGTGGGGAGACCTTTCCTCACCCCTCCCTTCCACATCCACATCCACATTCGGCCTCTGACTAAAGGGGATGCAGACCTGAGAGAGGGCCTGGAGGGAACCGCGGCCCCTACCCAGCCTCAAACATGGTCTGGTACTAACCTCCAGCCTTCAGGGCAAGTGTGTGAGTCCCCGCAGATGACGTCACACAGACATCGACTCAGACTCAAGCAGAAGGGACTGAGGGGAGGTAAGAAAGAACTTTTGGACGATGGAACTTGTTAGACTAACTTATAGAAAGAAAAATCCCTTTTTTAAAAAAGGACTCTCAAGTCAAATGCAAGACCACTCAGAATGGCTAAGAGGCAGGAGAATGAGCTAAATGACCCAGATGGCCTCTTTCAGTCCCGGCTCAGGGCCTGAAGAAGAAAACTGAGTCCCCCAGGGGATCTGTCCCCTCATTTCTCCCACATGATCAACCCCAGTGCGCTGAACGCCGAACACATGGCTCCCGATTCTTCATGCCAGTACCAGCCTCAAGGCCTGAAAGGAACTGAAATTGTCTGAAGAAATCTAAGATAGACAGTAGCAGAGCATTTGAGACCCCAGCTTATGTTGTCAGTTTGGCTCAGATAAACTCTTAATACAAATTTCCTAGCCCTGGCCTGGCCACGTGGTACTACTGGTCAGAGCGTTGTCCCAAAACACTGAGGTTGCAGGTTCAGTCCCTGGTCAGGGCACAAAGAAGAAACAACCAATGAATGAATAAATAAGTAGAACAACAAATCTCTCTCTCTCTCTGTCCCCTGCCTCTTTTTTCCTAAAAAGTCAATAAATAAAGTTTCCCTAAAAATATAAAACTGGTCAATAGCTATTCTATACATGCATATAAAGTTCTATAATTTCTCAAGCGCCTACAAATTCACTAAGTGCCCATTAAATGAGAAACAGACCCAGGGATTAACCTAAATCCCAATCAAAATCCGCTGATGGGGTAGGTTTGATGCCTGCCCCAGGTCCCAGCCCTTCCCAGACACTGTCCTGTGGTACCCAGGGTCCTGAGCATCCCGAGCATGCAGCTGGCAGCCCTGACGGAGCGCTCCAGGGACTCTGGGAGCCAAACACCTTGCCTTGCTAACTGATGGAACAATCCTTCCCCCCCGTGTGTTAAACTGATGCTCTGGGAAGAGGGAGCCATCCACCGTGGTGTGTAGGGAGAGGAACAGTCTCCGTTCCCAGTGGAAACCAGTAGCAGGCACTGGAAAGGTCCTCAGGAAGGCAAAGGCATCGTGAGTAAAGTCACTTAAGCCTGGTCAGATGTACGTCAGTTATAAATAATCTCCAGGGCTTTTAATCCTTCCTGTTAAGAAAGAGTCAGTTCATTCCGGGTAATGAATGAAGTCACTTTGTGCCTCAACTATCAACTGAGACTCTTTGGAAACTTGTCCAGAGGCTTAGACCCAGTGATCCCTTGCTGGGAATGCAGCCAAGGACATGAATAAATGTTCACTGCAGTTATCATGGCAAAAAATGAAAATGGAACAATTCGGTTATCTAATAGCATACGGGTGGTCAGGTAAATTGAGCTAGCTTAATGCACCAAAGCATAGTGGCATTACCCAAAACGGCAAATATGGACAGATCTGTATCTGCCCTGTGAACACATCAGGTACAATTCTGAACATGTGAATACAAGGCTGGGGAGTTCAGTATACAAAAATAAGTATGTTAAAAATAGTTATGCCGATGAAATGGGTAATTATTTCAAATTGCTTTCATATTGATTTTCAACTAGAAAGGAAACACTGTTTGCAGAAATATATACTTTAGTGACATAGGGATATGTTTATTTAATATAAATGACTAAAATGTCTATTATAAAAGACACAGGTGTATGTAGAGTGAGGCAAAAAGACTGGATGGAGACAAAAAGTTATCAGTAATCTCTCTAAGTTGTGAACCATAGATGACATTTTTTCTCTATGATGTGATGTTATTTTTTTTCCTAAACTTTCTACAAAGACTGTCTCTTTTGAGAATTAACATATGAATAGAAGGATGATAGGTAGGTAGATAGGTAGATAGAATGGATGGGATAGAGGAAAGATAGACAGGAGGGTGAGGGGTAATGAATAGATGGGTTCCTGATAGATAATAGAGAGATAGGTGACAGATAAGATGGATAGACAGATAGAGCTATCTACCTTCCTTCCTTCCTTCCCTCCTTCCAAATCCCTTTCACTGAGATGAAATCAAGACCACAACCTTCTAAAAGGAAGAGTAGGCAGTTACAAATGTCATAGACCATCCGTGCTCAGCTCTGCTCTGCTTCTCTGAGACAGGGTGGAAGAGAGTCCTCCCCACTGTGCTCGTGCCCATCTCCTGACCCGTCTGCTCCAGGCTGTGCTCCAGCAGGTGACTCCAAGTAGCAGAGGCTGCATCTCATCCAGGCTCGGAGCCTGAGAACCACACACACAAAGGCTCCAGGGTCTTGGTTTCCGCAGAGATGGGCCCAAAAATTAGAAACCCAAAGGGCTCAGGTTTTTCCCACTAACATGAAGCAGAATACCTACAGGACGTCTCAGATGTTTACTTCATTCATTCATTCATTCATTCATTTGTTGAGCAGCTACTATACATCTCGGGAAAATAATTCTGATGCAAGGCAGTAAGTGCTCAAGCCCTACCAGCACTTCTCCCAGCAGGGTCAGGGACATCTGAGCCGGACGTGAACAGTGAGTAGGATGTCACTAGATAGATAATGGGAGAGAGGGTCTCCCTGATCAGCCAAAAGCATGGGAAAACATGAAAGTATGGAAAAAGAGAGCACTCTCAGGGGACAATAAGCTTTCTGTGCAGTAGGTACAGTACACCTTGTGGAGTGGGTGATGGGACCATGAGAGGCTTCTGCCATGGGGACACTAATAGGCCACCAAGCCAGGCGTTAGGGGTGTTGAAGCTTGTACAATTAGAGGAAGGGGCTTTTAAAAGAAAAGATAAAGAATAAAATCTTCTTTTTTGCAAAGCTTATAAAAACGGATGGCCATGTGGCTACATTACCAGGGTCCCTCCCAGGAACCAAGGGACTAAGAGGCATGAACCCCACGATCCCACTTCTGTGCTCATCCTGTGCCGTGGGTGATGAGCAGGCGCTGAGGGATCTTAAGGAAAAGAGTGAAATGATAACATCTTCATTTTAGAAAAAACAACTTACAGGTCTTCATACCCATGACTCCTTATCAGGCAAAGCAAAAGGTTCTCTTGTCACTCACAGCTGAGTGAAAGAGACAAAAAAAAGAAAAAGAAATTGAAAGAGTGGCCCTATGGCCTGCCTGTTCCCTGCCCTGCAGAGGCAGGACAACACCCCACCCCCATGCTGTGCATCCTGGAATGAAACATGCCCCGTTGGCACTGCCAAGGGCCAATGTCTTAGGCAGATGCTGCCAGACAAGTCCCAGCCAGCTGATGACCTTGCAAGTGCCACTGTCTGCACAGTGGCCTGAACGGCATTGAGTTCGCCTTCCGTCTGTCTGGCCCTGTGATTTCCTTTGTTCGTTCTTTCCCTGGGCTGTGATAGGTATGCACTGGGCCGCATGTACGGTAATTCCACGTCATGGTGGAGCCCAAAGCCTCGTGCTGTGAGACTGTTAGGCTGAGGCTGCCAGCAAATGTCTAGGACAAGCGAGGGCTGAAACCCCAGCCACCACTGACCGACTGGGGTGGGGAGAGCTACACAGCCCCACCTCCCATCCTGGACCTCAGCATCCCAGGCGGCACAATGGGGTGGATGGATGACAGAGACTCACCTGGGGCTGTGGATGAGAAATATCCCATAAAACTCATTGTAAAACTCCCTACATCTAGAAGGTGCTATTAAAGTAATGACTACAGATTACGATCAGAATTGAAGGGGAAACATATGCCCAGCTGGGCCCTCCCAAGCCCACTCCTTGGCCAGAGGGCCCGAAAGAACAGAAGACTGCCCTTGACTCGAGCAAGTTACAACTGCTACACCAGGGAGAGAGCCAGACATGGGTGACCTGCACGGGGACTGAGTAATCCCCAGTTTTTTCCAGGCAATTTGTGGCTCGCATTTTAACCCTAAACCTCATAAGAAGTTTCTTCCTTTAATTGCTGGCCTGTGCTCTCCTTCCTCCCCACCACGTTCCACACAGTTCTGAGAGCCCACACACCTGTCACCGCCACGTCCGTACCTACCTAGTAAAGAAGGCAACCCGGGTATTTCTCAAACTACTTCAAAAAGGAGGAAAAAATTAGTGTGGTAGCCTTAAGTAAGCAAGTAATTGGACAGAATTTATTTCCTATCTTGAGATAACACCTGGTTCTAATTTACAAGTGCGAAGATACCCTGGGGAGAAAAGTGTTCTGCAGATAGACTATAAATTAGTCTTTTTTTCCATTACTAATAATAACAGCACTGTTTCCAATGTATAATATTAGACTTTATGACTTCACCATAAACTCAAAAATCAAATGAGCCACCCCTATAAATCACAACTTTTTAAAATGAAAAAAAAAACTGAGGAGGCATGATATCTCTGCCTCACTTGAAAATGTTTTCTTTTTTGCACAACTAGAATGGTCATTATACAAAAAGTGTTTATTTAAATTAAATATTTTAGACAAATCAATATCTACAACCATCCCAAAGTATGTGTAGTTCTTAGCAGAAAATGGACAGTTCAGCTTCACATCTGTGATCATGTTTTACAAGATAACATTAATACACGTTCCAGACGGTGCCAGTCTATCATCCTGCCAGTGATTTACTATTTATTACCAAACATTGTATACAGTAACAGCATAAAGATTAAGCATATTTTATAAGTGACTTTACAATTGGACTCCTTGGAAGGAAAAAAAAAGGATCTTTCAACAATACAAAATAGAAGGTGAAAATAATAGGAGAATATATAAAACATATTTCATACAAGCAATAATATGCTGACATTAATAGACAAACAACTAACTGCCTTTTTGCTCACTGTTAGGTATGTCCGTTCGAAGGAAGTCTGAGCGAAAGACAGCAATGATGCGGGGTGAGGGGCGGGGCTCAGAAACCTGCTCTGGATCACAGTGGGTCTCTGCTCTTTGGGAAGCGAGCACAGCGAAGGTGCCGTGGAGAAGTCGTGTTAAAGTGCCGTGTGAGGATGTGACCTGAAGAACCATCTGGCTGGTGAGGAGGGTGAACTCCCGCCCCAGCCATGGGCATCGTCAGTCTTGGAATCTTTCAGTTAGTGGCCGAGTCAGGTATGGAGGAAGAGCAAAGGGAAAACAAACTCGGAAACAAAAACAACCGCAGGAGAGGCAGAGAAGGAGTTGGAGATGCGTCTGCAGAGGGGAGTTGGACTTTTGCTCAAGAAAACAACACCTTGAGAAGAGGGGAAATTCTTTTTAGGTCCCCTGTTCTTTGGGTCATTAGAAATAGGGAGTTGACAAAAAGCTGCCAATGTCAACAAGAGTGTCTGACGTGGGCTGCACAGGCATGCATGTGAGGGTGTGTGTGCATGCAGGGGTGCGTGCTGCGCGTCTCACACACTGACTGCATCTGTTCAGGCTGCAGATACTCTCTGGAAATGTGTGCATAATTAAAAAAAACCATATAAAATATACTTAAAAAATACAGGTTGAATCAATCTCATTTTCAGCGACACAGCCAACCCCAGCGGTAAATTTCCCAAGTCAAGGTGAGTGTTTTCTTTTCTCAAATTGGAAAGGAGTCCATCTGGATGACTAAGACCAGATGCAGTACAAGTGCAGAAAGCCCTGGGCTGTGCCCAGGGAATCATCACAGGTTACACCTTAACCAGTTGGTTGAGTCAAACCTCGTTTTCCTTTCAGCCTTTCAAGAATCCAAAGTCAGAAAACCCTGGAGCAGAAGGGACCTTGGATGTCAATTGTGCCCCTCACTTTACAGATGGGGGTGCAGGCTGGAAGGGGAGGAGAGGCCAGCTGGGGTGTCACCAGCCCTCTGAGGATCCTGGGTCCCTGGATCCCAGCCCACGGTTCCCTCCGCATGAAGACCCCAAGTTCGGCTGCATCCGTGCGGCTGTGTCGGAGCCTGGGCGGTGTCGGTGCTGCTGGGCTTCTTGCACATTCGTTTTTGAGATGGGGACAGGGAGGCGAGGTCTGTGAAAATTCTACCTTGGAACCAGCGTCTCTCAGCAACGACCTTGCCTTATTCCTAGGTGTAGCCGGTGCAGACTCATTTGAAGGAATATACTCAGAATGCAGACTTCGGGGAGTGGGGCAGGCAGGGAAGGGGGTAGAGAGGGTCCTCGGACCTGCGGATTCCGGATCGCAGCACCCGCAGGGCAGACGCGCCCGCCCCGGGCTGCAGCACCGCGAGGTGGCTCTGCTCAGTGCGCAGGACGGAGAGTGGCGGCGTCCAGGCAGGGCAGGGCGGGCGGCCGGGCTCTAGGACACGCTGTAGCTGTTGTAGTACGTGGCCGTGGCGTCGGCCAGCACGGAGATGAGGCTGGTCTCTGTGGGGCCCGTGGGTGTCGCCTGAGAGCTCGGGGCATGCCCGCCGAGAGCCACGGCCCCTGCAGCAGAGTCAGGGTGGCCGGGAGTGTTCAAATACTGGTCGAACTCATTACGATCCATGTCCCCCAAGAGTTCCACCTGGCTCAGCTGATCCAGCGCATCAAAGCCGGGGTGCTCGGGAGGCGGGGAGAGCTGGCCCAGGTGGGCGTGAAGGTTGGAGTGGAGAGGCGGGTAGGTGGCCGGGGAGTAATAGGCAGGAGACGGGGGACAGCCGGGAACAGTGGACATCATGGAGACGCCCGGGGACTGGCCGAGGGCCAGGGAGCCCAGCGGGTGCCGGCAGTGGAGAGGGCTGGGGGCGTACTCGGGGGAGTAAGGGGGCCGGGGCAGGTGGGGGATGCGGCGGGAGTGCGCGTGCTCCTCCTGGCAGGGGGAGGAGAAGAAGGTCTGCTCCGGCTCCAGCACGTCCAGGGGCGACATTTCCGGGGGCGTGGGCAGCCCGTAGGGGTACGTGTCCGTGCTGCCCGGGGTGCCGCCGCCCGCCGGCCCCTCGTGGTAGCAGCCCCGCAGGCTGGGCAGGGCCGCGCCCGGGGAGTACTCACCCCTGTCCTCTTTGTCCCCCAACGCCTCCCGGCTGGCGCCCCGCTTCTCGGGCAGGGCGTTCTGGTCCCGGGAAAGGGAGCTCAGGAGGAAGCCGGGGTCCACGCGCTTGCAGAGGCGCTTGGCCTGCTTCTTCCTGCGCGGGCGGTACTTGTAGTTGGGGTAGTCCTGCATGTGCTGCAGGCGCAGCCGCTCCGCCTCGTCCACGTAGGGCCTCTTCTGCGACAGCGTCAGCGCCTTCCAGGACTTTCCTGCTCACACAAGTCAGAGAAGGCCACGTTCAGCATCTGCACGGCTTGGGCGGCCGGTGCACCTGTCTCAGACTGGCGCCCCCGAGCACCCGACGGGCACACTCGGGCTCCCTCGTACCCGCCCGAGCCCCGTCCGGCCCGCGGCCCCACCTCTCCACCAAGTCCAGGAAGGCACTCCCCCTTCGCGCCCTCTTCCCAGCGCAGAACCTGCCCGCGCAGCGCACCGCGGGGCCAAACCCACCTCCCTCGCCTGCATGGGGCAAAGCCACTTCATGCCAACCACACACACAGTCACATCACCTCATATAAAACCCATCAGGTAACACAAATATGGAAACGATGCGGGCCCCACAGCGAAAGGCCAATGTCAGCCACGGGATAGAAACATGTAAGGACCGCGGCATTGATGTGGATACTTTTAACCCTTGGAGAGACAATTCTAATTATTTGTGCATTTTAATGAAAACTCTCTGCCTTTGCTGATGGTTGCTGTTTCTCAGGAAGTGATATTGTGATATTTATTTATGGCATAACTCTCGCAGGCCTTCCCCTACCGAGCCCAGGCAGAGTTCGGTAGTGTCACAGACATAACTGAATTATAGGATCTCACTTATTATCTCTTACATCTGAAGGTCAAAAGGACTCCTCTGTGTGAAAACCTGACCACGGCAGAATGCTAGCATTGGCCTGCGGCATGCACATATGTAAGACTGCAACAGGCACACGTGTACACACACAGGCCCGTGTACCGCAGCTTCCTGTCATCTACTCAGGACCCTCTGACCATGGCAGGGGCACCTGTGCAGCCGCTGACTTTCCACATGGAAGCAAACACCCCTTAACTTCCCCGGTCTCTGTTTTCCTCACTAGAAAAAACATTGTGATGCTACCCAACACAAAACTCTCTGTAAAAAGCACCGCACACGTGCGTCCCACTGGTATGAAATGCCGGTGTCACTTGTATTTCCTATTTGTCCTTCTTCGCTTGTGTGTTGTTTTGTAAACTGCTTGAGTCTTTCAAAGTGCACTGCACATCCTGCCAGCTGCAGGTTTTCTGAAGGTCACTTCTGGACCCCTTAGGTGGTTACCTCCTAGGGTGAACTCAGATTCTACAACTTTGACAAGTTCCCCACACAAATTCCCTAATGTGTGCTGAAGTTTCAGAGTCACTAGCCTGGAGGACAGGCCCGGATAAACCCTGTAAGGAGAAGGGCACACCTCCCCCCAGAACCCTCTGCACAGGGTGGAGTAGAGCTGTGTGTGGCCACCCTCCTGCCCCTGCCGTGCTGGCTGGCTCTGCACCCAGGCCCTCAGAGGCGGCTGGAGGATGGTGATTACTAAAGGTGTCTCACCACTGGGATGAAACTTTATGACTATTCTGACAGTCATCAATTAATGTCATTAGCTGTCACTTAAAAGGGCAACATAAAAAGTGTTAGGAACTCTGGATTTGGAGCTAACTGGTCTGCAATTCCCAGTGTAGGGCTGACACCACAAAGTTGCTGCAAGAGACCCAAGCCCCAGATGCACCCCCACCCCCCGTCTGTGAACTGAGTACATAAAATGTGGCTCTGATTTTAAGTGTACCCGGATGTTGCAGTATTAAGAAAATATAGGTTAATTTTAAATGCTGCTAAATGGGTAATTGCCTTTATGTGTTTTCTCTAAATAATTTTAGTAGGGGCTAAAAATACTAGTGCTCATGGGTGAAACTTGTAATGTTAAAGATTAGAAAGCTTATAGTCAAAAAAATTGGCACTCACACCCAGTCCTTTCCTTTTCAAAGTCAGAAAGAAAAGGGTCGGGCGAGATCATGGGAGTGGAAATAGATCGTCCTCTGAACAGATTAGAAAGACCGTATTTGAAAGAGCAACATCGGGTTGGTTCCCTTCACTCAGTGCCAACGGCTGTGTGGTTAAGCAGGAAGGAATCTGTGTCTTTCCTGCAAAACGAACTGTAACCTCTGAAAGCTTTCGTGCAAAGGGACAGCAGGGATCAGCGTATCAGAGGTATTTATCACCCAAGTCCCTTGGCCTGCCCTTTCCCTGGACGCAGGCAGCCTCAATTCTACAAGGCTTCCCAAATCAAGTTCTGCTCCATCTCTGGCCCTGGATCTACAAAGAAACCCTGCTGTACTCCTGCCACAAGAGCATCTAGGAAGAGCACGCAGGACCCACACACACAACAAAAATTAGGAGCCCACAAAATAGAGTTTTTATTTCTTAAGCAATCTGAGGGAAGATATACACTTACAGGTTGAAGAAAATGTTTTATTGTTGTGTATATTAATTCATTTGTCTTTGGGCCAACGGTGTAAAATACAGTTTTAAATATTTTTTATGGAGGAAGGAGCTCACTAAGATGAGGGCTTCCTGGGCAGGGCGAACCAGGAGGCTGGGCCGTAAAAGGCTCTTTGAAGTCGGTCGCTGGACTGCAGGAGAGACCCCTCTGCCAGGCCCTCGGCTTTATCAGCAGAAAGGGGGGCAGCCTCAGTCCCTGGTTCCGACCGGAAAGGAGCCCAAAGCTCTGACAGAAAAAGGAAACCGGCTCCTTTGGTTTGGGGTCTGGTGGGGTTGGGAGAGCAGGGCTGATCTCTGGTTACAACACACTGTCCCTGCCCACAGGGCCTAGGGTCCCCTCCACACACAGTGTACTTTCAAAGGTTTCCACCAGTTAAAATGGATAAATACTGCATCGAAGGGGCTAAGAGGTTAGGAGTAGGGTGGAGTTGACAAAGTGTTCAGCTCCAGACCGGGGAGAGACTAGAAACCCTGACAGGAACTCTGGCTTTTCCGACGTGCCCTAACAGCCCCTCTCTCTCTCCTCTGGTCTGGCTCACCCTGTCCCTAGTGCCACCACTCCTGCTGGGACCGCACAGCATCTCTAGGGAAGCAACCAGGTCAGGCTCCCAGACAGGCAGACAGACAGACAGACTGCCCTCAACAGCTGCCCTAAGTATCCAGATGAAGTTAAGTAAACTGGTGTGACTGAGAAATGGCGTCGAATGGACTCTACTCGTAGTAGTCTTTTTTTTTGCTGTTGCTTTAATAATAAACTTAAAGTAGTGGTGCGTCCCCACAAGGTCTCTCTATGAATATTCGTTAATGGTCGTTACCATCTCCCTCTGTGACGGTGCCCGCGGTAAAGTGGTTTCCCACTGTGGCGTCCCCAGCAAAGGCCAGTTCCACCCCGTCTCAGGGTTTCCATCCTGGCAGTTTCCTGGGTGCGGGTCTCCACAGCCCGGCGACCCGGGCCTGGACGCTGTCCCGCTCCGTCTGTTCTCTAGGACCCCCGATTCCTCTCCTGACTTCACGAGTGGACCTCCGAGGCCACCCCGGAGCCACGTTGTTTCACTTTGGGCCTTGCCGTGGGGTCCCTACTCTGAATCCCGGCCACGGCGCTCACACCCGCGCGGGCACAGATGCCCGACCTTGCGGGCACCGAGACGCCCGAGTTCTCCGCGCGCCCCCACCGGCCGGGTTCTGCCCCGCTCTGCGCGCTTTGGCCCAGGCCGCTTCTGCCTGCGCCCCCAGCCCGCGACCTCGGGGCGCGCCCTCCCGCCCGATCACTCACCCAGCATCTTGCTGAGCTCGGCGTTGTGCAGGTCCGGGTTCTGCACCGCCAGACGTTTCCTCTCGTCCTTGGCCCACACCATGAAGGCGTTCATGGGCCGCCGGATACGGCTCTCCGACCCCTTGTCCCCTGGAGGGCGCGGGGCCGCAGGCGGCGACAGCCCATCAGACAGCTCGGCTTCCAGAGCCGGGCACTCGAGCCCCTCGGGCCACGGGTAAGTTCCCAGCAGCGAGGCCATGGCCGCACGGGGGTCGCCTCGCTTCGCCTCGCGGGGCGGGCGCTTGCCTGGCCCTCGCACTGGTCGGGGCGTCCAACTTGGCCCGCAGCCGCCTCCTGGCCCCTTATTTATCAGCTTTGGGCTGTCGCGTCCTCCAGTGACTCTGGAAGGCGGCTCCGCCCCTCCCTCCGTCTCCGCGCGGCCCCCTCCCTGCGTCCCGGGACGCCAACTCCCCTCACGGACCTGCGGGGAGCGGGAAGAGAAGGAGGGCCGCTTCCCATCGCCCGCCCCCAGCCCGCCCCTCCGCCTCGTTGGTCCCTCCAGGGATTCCGCGCCCCGCCGCCCCGGGGCCGCCTCCCGGCCCGCCCGCTCCCGGCTCAGGTGCCGCAGATCTGGGAGGCGGGCACCGCCCGCAGTCACCTCGTCCGAAAGTAGGAGCCGGACTCCAGGGCCCTGGCCGCGGCCTCCAAGGGTCAGACACCACCAGCTCCTCCCGGGCGTGGTGGAATCCTACAGAGAATCGAGGCCAAACAGGTTTCGCTGGGAATGGCGGGGCACGAGGGACATTAACCACGCATCCCCGCCACCCCCCCAGAGAACACACCTACTGCTTTTCTAAAATGACCCCGGCTCCCAGACAACTTTGGTGATCACCAGAGGCTAAACTTGGCTCGGGTTGGATCCCGCAGCGGGTTCTACTCAGTGCCCTCCCGAGGGCCCCTTTCGACGGCCCGGCAGCACCCCGGCTCTTGGAGAGCATTGCTGCCTTCTCAGTCCCATTCACTTTGCCATCCGCTTTCTCTCTTTTACCATCCCTCTCCCCGCCCCACCCGAGTGTCTGGTGTCCAGGTCTCCAGTTCCCTTGCCTCCAGTTTTTCTCTCCAGGAATTCCCTTCTTGTATTTTCTCTTTTCTCCTCCCACCAGCTCCCACAGAGCGAGTGGAGTCACCCAGCCCTCCCACACAGCGTCCCCTATGACTTTGGCAGGACTTGAGAGCCCTCGGGTTCCCCTCATCCTGACCCCCCCAAGGCAGACGGGAGCTGCAGGTTCTGTACCTGCGCTCAACTCAGAGCACCGCGGGCTGATTGCTTACCGACATCTCTGGAGGACTTGAACCCCTTCCCCCCAGTGACAGGTCCCTGTTGCCCTGCTCAGTGTGAGTAGAACTGTTTCCCTGGCTCTTACTTCATTGCTGGCACACAGTAGGTGTTCAGGCACCACCAAATAAGTGAATGAATAAACGAGTGAGTAAATGTGGTTTAGACGCACCCTACTGTATAAAAACCAGGCAATCACAAGGCTTGACTAGATTCTGGAATTCAGTCCACAAATATTTGCTGAGCGCCACCCCTGTGCCTGCTCCGCAGAAGGACCCTGAAAGGAGGCAGCGTTGTCATGGGAGGACTGCGAGGCTGGAGTCAGGGCCTGTCCTCTGTGTTTGGGTTGCCTAAAGCGTGACTCTGGGCAAGTCAGGTATCTCTCTAAGCCTCCTTTCTTTATCCTTTAAGGAGGACGTTGATAAGACTCATCTCACAGGGCTCTTGTGAAGCTTCGATGAGATAATATATGGGAAGTCCAAACTCTATACATAGTGGAAGATGTTAACATAATTCTAGACAAAGAGCCTGTAAGCTCTAAGTCCAGGTTTCAATTTGCCAGTGTGAGTTCGCAGGGGGCATCCTGTTCGTAATATGCACCCTGGGATGGCCCCAGGGCTAAAACTGCCGCAAATGAATGGAGAATGTCCCGATTTTAAACTCTAAAACTTCGGATAATTTTCGTACAAGAAGCAGCTTTCCACAGCAAACTCACAGTTATTAAGAACCACACCTAAAACAAAAGCAAACTAAAAGGACAGCTAGATCGGGAGTGAACCATAGAAATAAAGATCACGTGGAGGGTTAGCAACAGGGGAGTGGGAGAAGGAGAAGGGGGGAGAAGGTACAGAAAATAAGTAGCATAGAAGGTAGGTAGAAAATAGATAGGGGGAGGGCAAGAATAGTATGAGAAATGTAGAATCTAAAGAACTTGAGACACCTGGTCATAAACTAAAGGGGGGAGAATGGTGGGGGAGGGGTGTGCAGGGTGGAGGGGAATGAAGGGAGGAAATAGAACAACTGTAATGGCATAATCAATAAAATATATTTAAAAAAATAAAAATAAATGGAAAGCTTAGTTTTCCTCTCTCTTCGAGCCAGGATCCAGTAGCGACACTCTAGGCCCTTGCGCTTCATCCGCTGCTCTCGCGGGCCGGGGTTGACCAGCGAAGGGCGCCTGACGCGGCGCAGCCCAGATTGGAAGTGGGTGGCCTGCAGCCAGACAGCATCCTGGAACCCGAGGTGGAGCGGTGGGGTGGGCAGGGAGGGGTGGCGGAGGTTTGCGGAGAGAATGTGTCCGCGGTCTAGGCGGGCTTCCCTGCACCGGGAAGCCTAGGCCATTTCCCGTGTCGGACCCCTCTTGCCAGAAATTCCTTTAGAAAAATCCTGGGCCAGAATGCTCTGGGAACCACGGGGAGCTCGGGCCGCGCCCGTCCGGGGGAGGGCAACTTATGGGGGGCTGGGAAGGGGAGGGAGTGGAGAGCGGATCGCTGCAGGGGCAACTGTGCTGCAGCCGAGAACCGCTGGAAAAACTTGTCTTCGACCCTCTCAAACCCTACCGCCCTCCAGGGCGGAGAGGGTGCTTCACAGGGTCAGAGGCCTCTGGGGGACAGCGCCCCCTTGCCGGCCGCGGGCGTCCCCACTCGGGCGCCAGCCTCTGGCGCCCTCCCAGCCTAGTTCCTGAGCAGAACGCGCACGCTGTGGGGCCGCGCCCAGGAACCACGTTTGGAAGATACGCGAGACCCCAGCTGCGCAGAGCGGGCAAGTTGTATTCCATAGACCCACGGCAAAAATGGAGAGAATAGCGGGGGCGGGAGCAGAGAGAAAACGTATCATGATTGCTGTTTCCAATCGTTTAATTTCCTGTATTTCGTCCGGAGAGAGCGCTCCAGCCTGGGTTTTCCAGGACCCGAGGTTCAGCAGCCACTTGCTAGCACTGGCGCAGCCCCGATAGTGTGAGCTGTCCGCGTGCGGGAACCGAGCTCTCTCGCTCGTTCCATTCCTTAATTTCTTCATTAACTTGTGCCAATGCATTGATTTACTTGGGTAACTTTATACGAGCGTACCCTGGTGCGGGTGGTGCTAAGGGACGCGGGGTCAAATGTGATTCTGACGCCTCTCAGATCACTGCGACCTTCAATCCTCCGGAGCTCTGCTGCCAAGCGTCCCCAAAGTCCGGGGCTCAGAGGGCTGAGCAAGAGGGCCAGGGTTGACTCCTGCTCCGGCCAGCGCTGTGCCCAGGACCGCGGCCAGTTAGCTGTGGGTCCAGAGACTCATCGGTCGAGGCTCGGCGCGGTGAATCCGCAAGCAACCCAACCAAGAAGTGTGGAGACGTAGGCGCTGCTGCGTGGGTGCTTGGACGCGCCGCGGGGTGGGATGGGGGTTCCCGCAGACAAAGGAGAGCAGAGTCAGAGCGACGGGGCCGCCCGTGGCGACTCGGGGCCACAGTGGACACTGTGTGCGTGCACCGTGTGACGACCCTGCCCGGCACACAGACCCGAGCCTTACTCTTCCGGTATGTGATGTGTAAACTGCGCTTTCTGCTCCTCTTAAACGTCCTTTTCCTTCTTTCTTTTCTTTACCCTTTCTTTTCCCGCTCCTCCTTCTTTGCTTCCCTATTTCTCTCCTTCCTTTCCCCCTCCTCTCCTCCGCCCTCGCCCCTCTCATTTCCCCCCTCTCCCTTTCTCCCCACTTTCCCCTCTCTCTGCCTCTCTACCATCTTTTCCTTTGGCTCCCTAGCTCCATGAACATCGGTGCCCAGGAACACAGGACTTGAAGTCAGAAACCCGAGTGCAAGTTGCATTTACCTGATCTCAGCCTCAGTTCCTTTACTCGTAAAATGGGGATAGGATTACTGATATAGTATTTGTGAGAGCACCTTGTATGTTTAAAGAACTGTGAAATGTTATAAAAATAATGAATGAATGAAAATTTAAATAAAATTAACAGGGTCAGACCTCCAAAACTTTCTCCTCGAGGAGCTTTCCTTATTCTGTCCCCTTGTTCTACTCCAAACTGAAGAATTGTGGTGACTCCAGGGCACCAGGGCACCAGGGCACCAGGGCCCCGGGCCAGAGCAAGTTCCGCAGTATTGCTACAGTGGGCTGGTGGAGCCACGGTGCCGAGCCTTCGTCTTTGCAGTGGTTTTCAGCATGTGTTTTGCTGGTGCTTTTTGTCCCTCACAGCAGGCTGGAGGTAGAAATTATCATCACCATCTTTTCTGCTCACACTGACTTATCCATACTCTGTACTTTATGGGCAGTCTTTGGAAGGCCATTCTCTGGCTCCTCGGAGCCTCTATGTAGCCCCCTGAGAAAGTAGACAGTCCAAGTTTTAGTGTTAAGCTGTTTCCCAGTGATGCAGGTGAGGCTGCAGTGTGCAGGTGGCAGGCAGTGCAGAGACCTGGTCATACGTCTCTGTTCCTCATGCCTTTGCTTCTGGGTTCCAGAGCTGCCTCGGGCTGAGCTCCCCGCTCCGCACCCTCCCCAGAGTCCCAGACCAGATAGCAGGGCTTCTAACAAGCTGCTGAGTCTCCCTGTGCCCTTGTACCTTCTCCACTCCCAACGCTCCAAGTTCCATTGGACCTTTCCTCATCCAAAGTGTGCTAAGAGGTTCAACGTAATGTGAAAAGCAAATGGGCAAACCCTGTTGGCTACCAATGAGGCCTGTGCTGGAGAGCCAGGAAACTGGACACAGACCTGCTGGCCACCTTCTGGTCCAGCAACCAGACACCCTGACTTCCCTTCAAGAATCTGCTCTCAGAGTTCCATTCTTTTAACCCACATAAATCTCTTCACAGTCATAGAGGAGAAATGCATCAAGGTCCCTAATTTAGAATTATTGGGGGGAAGTGGGGTTCAACCACACTTTGTGGATTTAAGATGTGCCTACAGTCTTACTTGCATGTACTGGCAGCAGACTAGGCACAAGGACACGGGGACAGAGTTTCACAGCCTCTAAGGTTTAACAGCTTTTCTGCTGGGGACTAGGAGGAAAGAAATAGGATTATCAGATAACATTGCTCATGAACGTGGGGAGTATAGACCCCCTGACCACATCCAAACATTTCTGTAGGAAAGACTTAATAGTACCAAAACACTAGAGTTCAGAAACCCAAATTTTCT